CCCAATAAAGATCTCCCTTGGAATAGTACCACCGACCCTCAGATTTGTTTGAAAGACATCTGGAGTTGGATGAGGAAGGAGTAAAAGTCAACAACTTAATATGTTTGAAACAATATTTTTTTGACAAAATTAAAGATTGTAAAATTTATTAGAAAAACAACTTTGTCATTAAATTTCCCTTTACATCTTGTAGTTTTGGAGTTGTAATAAAAATTATGACTGACCAATTAGTTAAATTAATTTGATAAATAACGCTAATAGTGTTCTCTCTGTCTGTAATCTACACTAACCTCTACAGCTTATAGGTCCACAGCTATAAGTCCACAGCTATAATGAATATGATTATCAAAAGTTGGTTGGATCATTTTAAAATTCCGCATTAGTTTAATAGTTTTATTCACATTCAATATTTTTAGTTGATCCCAGGGATTGAATGTTAATATTCATAGCTAGGATATTGAAGTAACTTCTCCTGGATTATTAGTTTGAAGAAACTTTTTCATTTTGTTTCTTGTCTCAGACATAAATATTTCTTGTTTTATTTGAGCAATCTTCATAACACTCTGTTCTCGCTTGATCATTTGTGGAATCACTTCATCGTCGATGTGTGAGCAGACCGCTGATTGTCTCTGATATCTATTTTTCTCCGTATTGGATGTTTTAGTATTCAACAAGTACGACCCCATGCCTAACCCCCCTTTGCAGCAGGGCTGGAACATCATCTTTAGCTCTTCGTTTTCTGCAGTAGACGCAAAAGACAACAAGGAATCCCTTGAGAAGACACCCTCTATTATTTTGTTAATTGGTAGTTTTTGCTTCCCCTTCTTATCACAGTTTGAATGTTGCAACTTCAACTCAGCGGCTTTTTTTCCTATAAGAATTCTGTGGGAATTTTTAACTTTGTACAACATTGAACGAATTAGTCGCCCCTCTTGGTTTTTTATTGCTGAAGACAAAGAATTGAGAGGAACCATACTGCCTTGGTCTGGTATACTTGTTCTCCTTTCCCTGGGAGAAGATTTGATGATTGCTGTTAGAGAGTTGGTCAAAAGAGAAGAGCCTTTAGGCAGCCGACATCCGGACTCAGTGACTCTAGCAAACTCTGTACCCTCGTCATTCAGTAATGATATTGTTCTACCATGAGCCAGTGAGGGTAACGAACCACTTTTCCCACAGTTGCAATACTTCCTATGAAGCATTTCCCATGACTCCTCCACTTCCACGTTCTTCTCCGTAAAGGTGTTAATTTTTGTTCTGATTTCTCTTTGAATCTGCTCAATTTTCCTAGACTTATCCTTTACCATGATATGGCTTACTGTCAATACATTGGTTGCTAAGCCAGGTTCTTCTGTGTAATTAGCTATTTCTATCCTATAACCATCCACATTCAGTAAAACCGGATTATCTTTCAGTTGTGCTAAAAAGTTCAAAATCTTCATTTTGATCATCACTTCCTGAATAGATTTTTTACTTGATAACACTTCTTTGATTTTCTTCAGCTTTTGGGGACTCACTATTTCTAGGACTTCAGTGATTGATGTGACCAATTTTTCTAAACTGCTGTTAACGATAATTACTACCTCTTGGCCTTGTGGGAAAAAGGTTCGCGATTCCAAGTAAATTTTGTGATCGATTTCTAATATGTAGAATGGCAAAGAAGATGTTTCCAAAACATTCGGCTTGGATCGTTTTGGAAAGATTCTTAGACTGAAAAAAAAGGGTTATCACAGCATATCTATTCATTTTACAAACATCCCACTTCTGACAATGTGTCAGATTAAACTTTAAAATATTCAACTAGTACATAAAAATATAATAGAAAAATCAGAAATCTCCTGAATTGTATCAAACTAATCCTAGTTGCTCTGCAATCCTAAACCTGTAATTCTTAAGATATACATATCTTACGGATTCTACAACCAGCCACTAAATAACACTGCAGTTGTGAAACTTCTACACTCTGTACAATGAATATACTTGCATTAAATTACTTTAAAATAAAAAAGTTATTCCCTTTACAAAGTGTATTCAAAGGTGCAATTGAATTCCATCTTCGTTTATGAAGAAACCTCTGACATGTAATTTTTGAAGTCCTTTTACTTGGGCAATCCTCTAGGAAGAGGCATGAAAGGGTAATCATTGAAATGGCTCCTAGTCTGCCACTGGCACTGCACAATTTAGCTACAGGTACATGATGGATCGTCTTATCATTCCCCGTTTCATCCCTTGGTTACATCTACAACATCTTGAGCCTGAGGAGGGTAACATCCTGATCTCTAAAGAACAAATTTCTACAAAAACGTACAGCTAAAAGACTTCAACTGCTTTTCTGAAGATTCCTATCTAATTAAGGTTACCAAAATGGCAAAATATCTGTAATATTGTAGACTTTACAATACCCACTTCTTCTCCTGAGCACAAGACAGTGTCTTGTAGTGTTGTACGGACAGTAGGTGGAGACATACCACTTTGTCAACATCCACCTCACCATGTGTATAGAGCAACTTGTGAAGAGGTACTTGCTGGGGGAAAATACATGGGGTTAAGATAAAACTGTTTGATGAATGTAACATGGACACAAGTGTCTAAGTTTTAAAGAAATTTTTAGTAGCAGACCTACTTAAATGGGAAAGAGCCCTCTGGCAAAAGAAAAATACTCCCGGAGCAAACCTGCCAACTAAGCAAAGTTCCATTTGAATTGATTTTCACTGAAATCTATTTAACGAGTACCTATGTTTGCTGATACAGGGAAACTTAAAGTGTGTTTTTAGTAAAATAATAATAGCTTAGTATAATTAAATAAATTTTCCAAGTTGGATCAAAATATATCCATAAACAAGCAAACTACAACATTTTACAATCAATTTACATTTTACATCAATTTACAATTTACAATCAGGTTATATTTTGGTAGATTCCAAAATATAATATTTGAAAAGGCACTACACAGTATTGAGTTCAAACAATAAAGCTATTTATGGTGAACTAAGGAATAAATGTGTGATGTGTGTTAAAATTTTTGATTATATTTTTTAAGCATAAGGTTAAACAAGAAGGTACAACTCATGGAGAAGACTATACTGTGTCGTATTTAATTTACTGGCCATATGCACCCTAAAGCAAAAACACTTTCTGCCAGGAATGTTGACAGAGATAACTTGGACGGTGGTAAAGGCTAGAAGCTACATTGTGTAATATTTTTAGCATTATCACAGGTACAAGCAATTGGTGATTTGCTGGACTTAAACCCTGAGCTCCATGGCAACAAATTCCTGTACTCTGACTAGTTACTAGACCTAAAGCTGCAACAGGGTGGCTTTAGTAGATGGGATCCAGTGGCGCAAGAGGTTTTAGGTTTGTTGGGGGCGTAAGGAAGGGGAAAAGGGTGAAGTTCTCTCTCGGGCCAATGGTGTTACACATGCAAACCTAATAAATTAGGTAAGTAGGTATAAATAAGCACTAGTTAATCAAGTGAATCCTTTTCAGGGTTACAAAATAAAGCATATACTGACCTAGGAGCACCAAAATATAATTTACTTTTAAAATACACAAAATGTACTCTCTACACTCAACTAAGCATACCTCGCCAATGTATGGAGTTGAAGCTATTTTGAATGAATCGAGTTTTTTTAGTGAAGTCTGAAACCAAATCAACTACATTATTAATTTGAAACACGATGTCATGAAGAATTGATTGTTATTATTGACAAATATAGGTTTAAGTTAAATTACATTGTACCAAGGGTCACTCTGTTAGTAGCGCAGGTAATTCAAACTAATCTTCCAAGTCAAGAATAAATGCACACAACTAACTTAATTAAATATGATTATAAATCTAGAACCAGTTGCTGTTATGCGAGAAGTTTTTAGTCTAACTGCAGAATAAATAGTAAGACAGTTAGTAGACATATTATACTTACTATCTGCAGTGTGATCAATAACAAAGTATTAAGTCACATTTTTATAATTTTAGGTTGCTCTTTTAATAACAACTTTCAATCCTTGGGAAAACATGAATTATAACAAAATAATTGTCATGAAATACCAATACATAAATAGAATTTGTAAAAAAAATAACTTGAAATGTGACAAAATTGGATTAAAAGAAATATCAAGACTTGAGAGTAGCAATGTAAACTGTACTGTATAGTACAATATTAATAAATGATATTCTCATTTCTACTGTGCTTGTGCTATGTCAAGATCATATCTCTATTCTACATAGATTATAGATGTATGAGCAGCTCTTCTTTTAGCTCAGCCTCACTATAATTTATAAGCGAAATTGATTAGGTGAGGGTGAGGACCACGTTAGAAAATTAAGATGAGCCAAGCTTTAATCTTGCTCTAGAAATGGATCACAGAATGCATCTGCAAAAGTTGTTACATAAAAAATTCACAATGTCGTGATCGCAAGAGATGATCATGATACATGGTGTAGATGGTCACAACATGATTACACACCATGATCTTGGAAGATGGTCACATTAATAAAACCAAAGATTACATATGCTAACGCAAAATTTTGCGTTAGCATATGTAATCTTTGATAAAACTATTCATCTAGCTAATCCTAGAAATTTGGCTTGAAATTAGCTGCCACCACTGGATTATAATCAGTATGCTAGGCACCTACTTCGAAATTCCCAGTAGTCAAATATTTTTCATATTTGGTGCGAAACTGTGACTCTTTGAACTGTTGATATCTTGCATCCGACTCCACTGCCTTTGATATTGCTTTCAGCTCTTTTTCAATTAGACTGTTTCTAACCTTCGTCTGAAGAGATGTTCTCTTTTCTGCTTTAGAATTATACATGATCTATTATATCGTTGTGAGAAAAAAAATTAATTTTTGATTGAAGACATGTTTTTATTTGTTTTTGGCCGTTTTCTTGGTACCTAATATCACAACCTGAGTTAAACCCCTAATATTTTAGACTGCATGTTGAGTATTTGTGTCAAAAATTATGTTTACAAACTAATAATTTAAAGTTTGATGTTGTAAACATAGTTTTGAAAAAAAAACACACATAAGGAATTTCAACCATATGATTCTAAAAAGACAGAAACCAATTTTATTTTGGTCACTTTGAATATAATGTGTGAAATTATATTTAGATCACAGTTTAAACACAAAGAACCATGGCTAAGCATTCTTCTGTCTCACTCAAAAGGTCCGATAACATTTTATTTTTTCATATTATGAGTTAAGCAATACAACAAATCCTGCATTTTTGTGCTGAAAATTTCGAGGATTCGGAAACCAATAACAACTGGTCACTATCAGTCAGCGGTCTATCACAATCAGTAGGCCTATGTTTGATCTATCATCTATATCGACGCCGGGTGCTAAAACACCATATGGTGCCAATCTGTCTGGTGCCAACTTGACTGCGAACTGCGGCCCTCACTATGCAGCCACCAACACTGAATTACTGTTATTGCTTGCTCTTACTGTCTAGATCTACTACAACAGCCTCATATATGATCTAGCATGTGCAAGCAATAAATTAATGTTATAATGTATAGTGTAAGACTGTTTCTAGAAACTAGAATGTGTCTTAAGCAATCTTGAGATGCTGAGACAGTTTGTCAGATGGTCGTCATTTCGGGCAATATTGTCCTCGCATTGCTAAGGTAATGTCAATATCAAGATCAAGTTGTCATGACGCACATGATGTAGCAATAGCGATGTAGCAGTGTAGCAATGTAACATTTCGCAGTGTATATAGTGCGTCGCGGTCGTACTCAACCCATTACATGCTCCAGGATGCAGCTGCTGGCGACGCTAGCGATCCTAGCGGCAGCGACGTTTGCGACGCCACAACATTGGTCCAGTAAGTATCATGGTATCATAGACTAAACCATTGACTTTGGAAATTGGATGTTGCTAGTAGACATCTCATCTTCTGGTTGAATTTGGAATACGTTTTGTTTAGCCTAATTTTTGGATCCCGGGATCGGGGATCGGCTGCGGCGAGTCCCGAAATCCCGGCATTGGATTGAAGGCCCGGGATTGAGACCCCCTGATTACGTTACTGTGCGGCATTACCATATTCTACGGGTGTCTGTGCACCATACCATAGTGCGATTAGAAATAAACACGGATCAACACTGGCTTGAGATTTTAAAATAGGATGATAATTGAAAGATAAACTTCTAGTAGCCTATTCTAAGTAAAGCGTTCAGAATACTCTTTTCAGATGTATTAGGTTTATGGTTTTCATAGTGATTTTTAATCAGGGCTGGCTTAGCAAATGCAATAAAGATATTTTACATCTTCAAAACAGCGTAGTAATCGTTTTAAAATGGCAGAAACTCTAGTGAATTACTAAGTGTGATGTTGACAATATTTAGTTATTAAAACCCCGTAAATATCACACATTCGCTGAAACATAAATTCAGCTTCAGGACAAAAAATTAAATTTACCTGAGCATTGTGTTGTGCAGCTGCACAACTGTAATTGAGATACATAAATCAGAAATTTTTGAAAATTTGGATAAGTAAAACAATCCGTTTTTGATCGGAACTATTTTCCCCTATATCGACTAACCTTCAGTGTAATCTTTGCTCAACAATTACAACTGATGTTTTCCTCTTTGTACTGTATCCAATAGTCAATGCTATTTTAAATAAAATAAAAAACTAACTTAAACTCATTTAATCACAGAACAAAACATAACTTAATTTGTTTACATAACAAAATAAACATAAAACCAAATTATCAGCTGATTCCAATATATTCCCCTTTTCCCTCCCCATCGTCTATCGCACCCTCTCTTCTTCGCAGTTGATCCGAATGTTTATCACTCCACCACACATGACTTCATAAGAGTATAAGCCATTGCGTTTGACTATTGTTCCTGCTATCCAACCAGGGTTAATCCGTTAATCTCATTTTTCACCCATACTTATTCCCCTTCACTGAATGTTCTTGAAGTTTTCTTTTGAGTTGGTTTTGTTGTTCTTTCCAAATTATCAGCTGATTCCAATATATTACACTTTTCCCACATGAAAAAAGCTTAGAATTTTGAGCGGACACTGTGTACTAGTCCTAACTGTTTACAATTTTCTGTATAATGACTGTACGTTTCTTTTGCCAAAGATCTATTTTCTTATCATAGTTGTACCTTGTTTATTATAGGCATAGCTTCTTCTAAAATATTCATTTCCCGCTTAGCTTTATCCATCGCCTCAGCTAAATCAACCAACTCACATAAAGTTAAACATGAATCAAAAACTCATCTAATCACAGAACAAAACATAACATTATTTGTTTACATAACAAAATAAACATAAAACCAAATTATCAGCTGATTCCAATATATCACCAAACTATTATACTGTGAATGTCTTATTTAAAAACGTGTGACTTTTGTCTACTTTTACGTTGTTATTTTGTTCAATCAACACAGTTACTTGGCAACCCATAAGGCCAATGTTACATTTTTAATTTTAAAACGAGCTGTGTTGTGAAATATACATTTTCCTGGGGTAGTGGCCATCGCCAATTAATTTTTCAGGGCTATAAGTTCCTGATTCCAAAATTTATTCAAATCCTTCCTCTGGATTTCGGGAGATATATTACACACATACAGACAAACAAACATACATACAAACAGACAAACAGACATAGCTCGTATTAGAATTAGGATAGGATACGATATTGTAAAGTCTGAAGCCTGTTTTGGTTTTTGTTTTAGGCCTCGTACACATGCGTTCTTACAAATTCTGATTGTTTACAAAAGCAATCAAAGTAAAATAACTGTATACATGAAGCGCCCGTACTTAGCCAACGCGAGTTGCAATGCACACGTGAGAGGTTCTTCGTGTACTCAAGACACAAAATTACGGTGTCAAATCAAACTATTCGTTCTTTCCACTATTGGCATTAAAAACTGTCAATCAATTCAAACAGAAAATACAGCTGTTTAGTGCGTATTGCATCCATCGAACTATATATTGCATCATATCTTTTGAAACACCCTGTGGTGCCCTAAAATTGACTCCAACCATAGACTTCCCATGTAATGTAAAAATTTGAAGCCAAAAAAACGTGGTGCAATCTGTTGAGATGGTCACCAACTAATGACAATATATTAAGTGATAAATCAATCAGCTGTTTGCTATGAAACTGCATTGGTTTTAATTAATATTCAATTGTAATGTACAAATTTGAATCCAAAAAAACGTGGTGCAATCTGTTGAGATGGTCACCAACTAACGACAATATATTAAGTGATAAATCCATCAGCTGTTTGCTATGAAACAGCATTGGTTTTAATTAATATTCAACCCAATACACTAGTAAAAACTCTGGTGAGATGGTCCTGAACTTAATCTATTTCTTGGCTTCAAACTTTTATATCACATAGGAAGTCTCCAAATGATCCATATTGAAGCCAAAAGCCAAATCTACATGGCATAAATCAATTGTAATCCTTAATGTTTCCACAACAATAGATCAAATAGGTGTAATATTTTAATGCAATATTTAGATGTATGTAATGTGCAATACTTGTAAACCTTTAAATTACACAATTTCATTGACATTTCCTGTGACGCATTTAGACAAAAATAGTCGATCATTGAAGAGTGCGTTACGTTATTGCTCCATTATCCGTATATGGTATATTTTAAACTCAGACAATGGCGGTTGCGCTACGCGGATATCACAGCGTCTGCGTCTAGAACATTTAGTTATGTCAGTTTCTCAATCCTTACACTGTTGTAGACTGATTCATTTAACTCTTTGCCACTACATGTCTGCCACTTGTAAGCATCAGCAATTTGTCGGAATTCCTCGATTGTTTCAAGACATTTGTTCTCCACTGTTGTGTCGTTATGGCGTGTCATCTTGTGAAATTAAATAAAGTAAATGGCGAAACATACGTAATATATGTGTAGTACCATTTACTTTGGATACCGCAAGTAGATATTCCATTTATATGAACCAGATGTAGTCTTGGTACCGGTAAAGTATTGGATAAAATATGCTTGTTCCGCTCAATATTGCAAGCAGACAACACTGCATTGTCCACCTAGTATACCATTGACTTAGGCTTATGGACACAGGTTTTTCATTTTTTAATTTTAATGGTTATTTTCCCATTAAATAATTGAAAAATCTGATTTTCTCGAAAATGGCCCGAACGATTTTGATAATAATTTGTGTGTTGTAGCAGTTTTAATTCTGAACAAAACGGCAGAACTCTCCATTCCTTTACAGATTACGGTTCAAGTTATTGTAACTAATGTTATTTTTACATTTTAACCCATAAAAAACATTATTAAAAAAATCAAATATGGTTGAACGTTGTCTGTTATAGTCCTTAATATTCTAAACAAAATAGTGAAACCCCGTTCCTGTAAAAATTACTGTTCAAAAGTTAATGCAATTTTTGTGATTTTACCTTTATCAGTTACTCATGATAAAAGTTGTTGACAAGCTAGCGGGAGAATGTAAGTGTCAAATTGCTACCGTTTATTTCTGTTCCCATTTGAATTTTGAAGTTTTCACCCAAAAGATTTATGTGGATTTGGCGGACGATTAAATAGACAACAAGAAACGTCTGTTTAACCCGAACGCGGGCAGTATGATGAAATTTTTAAAACTGACGTGTGTGGTCATTGGTCAATCAGTTAACTACACCACTGACAACTCAGCCAATCGATCAACACTCGTTGCAAGAGCAAGATCGAACCTCTAATCATGAAGATCATGAGGTGGTACGGTCATCATGTATCAGTGGTAAGTTCATACCGTACTGATTGACAAACTGTGAGAGGAGTTATGGGGTGGTCGTGTTTTAGAGACTCAAATATCACTGCGAGTGCCTAGCGAAAACAATGGTATCTTTACAATCTCTCGTGGTTCCAAACCATATAAGTGTGGGTTATTTTTAATTTAGAGTCTATTCTTTACTATGCAGTTAACTTATGGTTCGTTAAAGTTCATAATATTTAAAGAATAAATTAATTAATTAATACTAACGCCAATATTCGAGAGATATTTCCTCCAACGGCACCTAGCGGCGATCGCGGGAACTATTAGCTCTTCCTGCACTTTGCAGTATGATCTTGCAACTAACTCTACCTCAAAAACTGGTGGGATATTAGGATGGACGTTTGGAAAAGCGAAAAGCCGTTATGATTTTGATGGTATGGCTGTTACTTTGAACCTGTAGTACTTTGGTATTATCCGGAGACCACTTATTTCAGAGGGATTTTTTTACCGGAGACCAAAAATAACAACACAATTGGAAAGAACATACTTTGATTGATTTACTGTCCAAATTTGACATGATTACGATTCGCGGCCTTTGAGTTCAAAAGTTAGCCTGAGCAAAGTTAGATTGAGCTATACGGTTCCAAAGTTATTGCAACTTAAGCTATTTTCCCATAAACCCCATCATAAATAACAAAAAATCTGATTTAAAAAACCGGTTTTGATTAAAATCAATGTGTTATGGTCCTAATTATAAACAAAGTAGTGTAACCCCCCATGGCTGTAACAATTACGGTTCAAAGGTAATTATTGCAACTTTTGTGATTTGTCCTTATAAAATATCATAGTTACTCCCTCCTTACCCATGATAAATGTTGTTGACAAGCTTATGGGAGAAAGTATGTGTCAGATTGCCGACACCAATTATTTTATAAAAGATGCTATAGCTTACTTACAATAAGCTGTCCTGTTAGTTTAACTTGATAAACAAGTTTTTATTTATTTATTTGGTAAAAAAGTTGTAATTCAAAAATGCGTAATCATCATCACTTTGGCTCACTATTTGGCTTAATTAAACCACGTGCATTTTGGTGGAAAACTGGCAACAACTTTAAATGGGGATGGGATGCCTAGTCCTTATTTTATAATACGTGAAGAAAATTTCTACGAAACACTACTCCTCCGATAATAGTGGACGGATTTTTACAAACGATGTATCAAAATTAAGTATTTTTTTTGTAGACGCCCCCTTTTACCAATTCCTGTAATAAAAGTCCTCGGACATTGCCCCACAGGCCATCAAAATACCAATCTATTTCTTAAGAAAAAATTTTGTTTACACAAACAGACGAATAAATTGTATTAATTGTATACGTAAACAGCTGTTCAGTAATCACAGTTTATTTTCAGAGTGAGTACGTTCAGTTTTGATCACTCGAGTGTAGTGATTGAATACATTATCTTTGAGTTGACTCTTTTAATTCATCGGAAAATATGCCTGTTATAGGCCTATTCGTTTTTAAATAGGCGCGTTTACATTAATTCGAGCTCGCATTCGTGCTCGAACAAGTATCAACCACAAATTTACTGGCATTCTAGTAGTGGAATGCGTGCACGAATTACATATTTTGCCGTTCGAGTTACTTTCCAACATGTTGGGAAATGCTCGCACGCTCGCATACGATATCTTTGTAAAGCCAGTTTGTGAGAACGTAGGTGTGGTGGAATATGGATGTTTCTGTTTGTTTATAGCTTTTGTGTTTACTACTTAGATAAGTGATGGCTAAGTTAATAATGTATATTAAATTTCTTTTTTTTATTAAATTTATTTATCCCCACAGATCACCAAAATACCTTGAATAATTTCACTCATACTACTTTATATATACTGTATATATACTTATAAAAATATATCATCCATCCCTACACAGTTCTTGAATATTTTCACTCATTATACATACTAAAAATAAACTTATCACACAGCAATCACTTAAGACCAATGTGATCGTTGATTATGAATACTTAACTTTCGCCTTACAACTACATCACTCGCGACTACTACTATTATTCCAGTAATAACTACAATGTAAACGCTGCTGGAATTCGATCCGTCATTCGATACTCGAATAGTTACTCGCTCTCAATCGCATTCCATTAACTCAAATGCGAGCTCGAAATAATGTAAACGCGCCTTTACGCCGGAAATACTTTGCAGTTGCTCGAATTCGAGCAACAGGTGCACTAGTTCTATTATAAGAGGTTATGCACCCAATGCAGTCTGAAGATTGTTTTGCCTTTTCAGATTGTCGATTCGACACAAGACACAGTGTTTGATTCTGAATTCAGTATGATTTACAGTGGTGGCATTTATTTGGTTATAATTGATTTTGATTTGCTTTATCTTTTGTAAAAGTAAGTTAATAGAACAGTTTGTGCTTGTAGTTTAGTAACAAACCCCTTGAAATAAAGCAGCGTTCTCTGACATATAAATTATCTTCTAGTAACAATTTAAGGTTTTATTTACAAACTACATATGCACAACTGACTTCAATATTGGCAATTTTGTCTTTTCAGCTTAAACGTGCAAATTTGAATCTGACAAGCGACGTTTTGTTGACTTTAGCTTTCGGACGTTTACAAAATCCGGGGTTTGAAATAGTATAAACAACAGTATGTTTAATATATGTCAATAGATACTAGATAGTTTCATAAAAAATAAAAATGTCATTCCTAGGCCGGTTATTACACTATCATAGTTCTATGACATATCTATTATCATGTTTTTGATGAAAATAGGCATATTACAGTGTAAACTATTAATAGTTGAACTATGATCATATGTCTATGTGTAATATGTTCTAGAGAGAACATTATCATATATTTCAAATAAAAACATGTCATAAAACTATGATAGTAGTGTAATACCCGCTTAAACTGTGATTTGCCCTGTTTCGAATGACCGTTGGTAAATATATCTAGGCCTAATTGTCTATACTATTACTTGCTTGCTATGTAGGGAAAGTGAAGTTAAATAATTTTTTATTAATTGAATTAAGACAATCTCTTACTTTTCATAAACTCCCAAAAAAGCGACAATTTTAAAGGGGAATCTGCTCTTAAGTAATATTTTCCTTAATTTTTGAATGCAAGTTAGATATCAAACCTGCTAGCCTACTTGTCTTGTTTTATTTTTGGTTCGATCTTACTAACTCTTTTTCAAAGGTAAAACACAATAGACTAAGTAAATGACTCACAAACGATTAATTGTGACAACTGATGGCACAAATTGGAAGTCTAGATCTTAGTCAAGCTCAAGGGCATCAGCTTTGTTGTACGTTGACTTGAGCAACGCTTGCAATTAATACATTGTCAAGTACATCACTTGAGTAGCGTATTTAATTGCAGTTAAATGGTGGCTCTGTAGTTACCCATGTTTAACCTTACGCTTACGAGTATTCATATTTAAAGGGAATTAAAGAATTTAGTCAGCTGTTTCAACTAAAAAGTGGGTTCTATTCAAAAGCAGTAATAGCTATTTACATTACAAGTGTAGTAAGAGCGTTTTTACATCACGCAGGTGAATGTTGTGCAACAACTTCCCTATCCTAAGCGTGATGTATACAACTTCCTTACTTCTCGAGTGATGTAAAGTATCAAAAAACTCACTCGGTGATGTAATTAAACCAACCCATTTAAATAACATTGAGTGGATAACTTAAAAAATATAACTCTATGGAGCCAACGACGTTTAACGCTAGAAATCAGCTGTGTGCTTGAATTTTATTGTTATTGTTATGTTTTGGAGAATTTTCCTAACATAGCTTTTGTTTGTAAATGAACCTTACTGTTATAAGATGAGTGAAATGGGTAATGAAAAATATTGTTCGTAACCTCCTGTATATTGTCGGGTCAGGTAAAATCTTGTACGTTACACGTTACGCAAGAGCGTGTTTACATCACTTAGGTAAATTATGCAACTCGCTTCGCTCGTTGCACAACTTTCACCTGCGTGATGTAAAAACGCTCTTACTACACTTGTAATGTAAATAGCTATTAAGTTAAGCATTCAATGTTATTTAAATGGGTTTCTTTACATCACCGAGTGAGTTTTTGATACTTTACATCACTCGAGAAGTAAGGAAGTTGTATACATCACGCTTGGGATAGGGAAGTTTAACATGGCGGGTTAGGTAAAAGTTATAAAATGTACCAACAGCTTATACTAATTACTACTATTATCCTTTTTTCATTTATGAAAACAGCTAATTTGAACTGAGCAGCATAAAAAAACTGTGATATGCAATGAAAACTGTCAAATTAGGATTGTTTACAGTTATGTTTATGTTTTTAATTTCATGATTAATTTGTGATATTTTGGGAATTTAATAATTAATTTTTCTCTATTGTTTAGGTGAAGTAGCGGAACATTATGGCTATGGTAGATGTGTAATACTATTATATAAAAAAAATAAAGAAGCAAATTTGATCAAACTCTGCCCTCCCCCATTGCAAACGAAAAGCTTGAGTATAACTGCAATAAGCATTTATATTCATATGCCAATCCCGTACAAGAGAAAAATGTAATTTTCTTATCATGTGTGGTTTCGAAATGGCATCTATTGAAAATCTTTAATCTGATGTCATATAAATACTACATAGGAAAAAACTAATATGGTAATAGTTTATTTAGACAATTTTCTAACAATAATTGTTAGAACTCTAAAGATACCAGATGTAAGAAAATCTGTAAACAAGGTAGATATCTAATTCTCAAGATAATATATGGTACCTACATGAGTATTAGCCTCATTTAGGTAAGTTTTAACCAACAATTAACCAGATTCTAGCAGTGATCTTATCGGATGGCCACATAAGTCAATTTATAAACAGTATCTTAAATACCCCCACTGCAGCAAACCTGCAGACTAAACGAATTTCCATTTGCCTGATGATTAAATTAGGTTAAATGAGTACAGTACCTAGGTTTGCTGCTGTTACATGGAGGCTAATAAAGTGTTTTTTTTTGAAAAATATTAATAGTTTAGTATGAAATAAATAAATTTGCCAAGTTTGATCAAAATATATCCATAAACAAGCAATGTTTACAATATTCTACATAAGAATTTTACAATTTTTTGAATTTTCCCTATAGCCAATAACCGCACAAACACACTTCAACATACTAAATTATTTGTATTTTTAAGCTCTTTAAAATGGTCTAGACAGAAATTGGAATTTTTTTTGTTTTGTAATTTTGTGTTGTTTTTTTTTTTGTTTTGATTGGCAAAAATGAGAAAACCCAATTTTTACCCCATAAGACCCCGTTCCCATGGCTCAAGTCTTACCATGAGACCTACGGTAATAGCTACTTCACTATAGGGAAAATTCACTAAAATGACTTAACTTTAAATATATTTCAGGGACACTATGTGTAAAGTTTATTGAACTGATTTTGGAAGGATCAAAACTTCTTTGTTTATTTATCCATGTTGAAATGAATAAATTAACATTAAATAAAATAGGTTTGCAATTTTTTGTGTTTCGTGCATAGCTCCGCTGATGTTCCGTCACATTCAGCATTGATATATACAGAGGTTAAACAGTCGAGCTCGGCAACCAACGCCGTTTTTTACTATGTAACTTATTGTATTGTGTGTTCTTGGACCAATACACCATATCTTGACTCCGGCTCTTGATTCGGCATTTTCAGTAATCCAGGAATGATGAAGCTCCGCGCATGTCCAATTAGCAATCGTCTACTGTTCTGGATGTAATGAATCAATGTACAAGATCGTATTGATCAGGCCACATTTGCAATAAAATCTAAACATTGAAATAAAATAAAAATAAATTACAGAAGTTCATTAATCTTCCATCACTTTCAAATCTGTAATGCTGTAATATTTAGGTAAAACTAAATTAAGTGAAATTATGGAATCACAATAAAATTGATCCCAAAACATAAGCTCTATAATACAGCATAAATGTTTTTAAAACCTTGAGAACTACCCCTCTAACTCATTAGGAAAAAATGCAAATATTATAAGTTATTAATTATTGTTTTTTTTTTTTTTTACAGACAGTCGTGTGAAAGGAGGATTCTTCAGTGCTGGGTTTGCAGATCTGTACAGGAGAGATGGTAAGATAATATTTTAATCCACCTTTTTACCCCAACCCCTCATTTATGCAGGAGGAACTCGAAACATTGATTACAGTTTCGGCCCGATGGTTTAAGACCCGAGCCAGTCCTAGGTAGACGGAGGGGCAGGAGACGGGTTCCATCACACAGTACATATAGTTCTCCAAACTCAAGCTAATAAAATTAAATAAAAAAATAATAAACTCAGTCAATTTGACTGATGTTTGTCCAAATCTATGTGGATTACTAGAACTAGATACTCCATTATGGTTGGATATGAGGAAATATACTGTAGAATCTTGATCTTCTGTCGTTGTAGTGTACTCAGATTGTAGCTTATCCCGAAGATTGATTGCTACAACACATTTAGTGTAATCAGATTGTAGATTGCCCCGAATATGATTGCTACAACACATGTAGTGTATTCAGATTGTAGATTGCCCCGAATATGATTGCTACAACACATGTAGTGTATTCAGATTGTAGATTGCCCCGAAGATTGATTGCTACAGCACATGTAGTGTATTCAGATTGTAGCTTGCCCCGAAGATTTATTGTTTGATTGCTTCCCCAACATTCGCATCAGAAGCATCGACCGACACCAGTCATCTTCTGAAGACCATTGTACAATCTACTTTGACTGTGGAATGGATGCCTCTAGTTTGAGATTGACTGTAGTCACTAAAATATCCTTGGTAGCTCGTGTTTTAAATTGTTTTTTATTTTTAAGATTATTTTCTCAATCCTAAAATATAATGGTTAAACCAATAATGGTTTAACCAATTTAATGGTTTTCTTTAAAATACCAAAAACTATTTTTATTGACATTTGGTGAGCTCCAGCATTTTGTGTTTAGGCTATGGTAAAGATTTTTGGAATTACACGTTTATAAATGAATCTAATTAAATATAAAACTATACTCTGTTCACAAAGTATAGGCGGTTTTGAGGGGAAGTTCCCTCACTACTTTTTTTGTTTAATATGTATGTACAAACTGAGTGATGTTTTGGCAACTCTCAGCAATTGTTTTAATGATTTAAAAGTGGAGGAGATAAGATTTATTCCCCTAAAACCGCCTAAAGTTTGTAAACAGCGTATACAGTAACACATTTGTATTTATCGTGTTATCAAGAGCATAGCAGCTAAGTGTTACAACCAATTTATTTGTGTTTTCAGATTTCAACTTTGACAAACTAAACAAAGCTCAGAAAGACAATCTTCAAAGTAACAACGTAAATCCAATTGATAAAAACTTTGGTAAGTATCATAGTGAATGATTTTCTGAAATTATCTTAACTCAGAATTCTTAACTTTGTTAAGAAATTATTGATTAAAAAAGGTTAATTTTAGTTTTGTTACTTAGTAGAAGAACATTTTCTAAGAATTATTGATTCAACACTATAATTGTCTTCGGAGAGTAAAAGACATAGTTGAGCTTAATTTTTCATTTCACAATTTATGTAAAGTTCGGATATAAATATAATCTGAACTTTTGAGAAAATTTAATGAATTTAAGTATGTGCAATTTAGAAAAACTGTATCCTAGAAAATTGTCTAGACAATAGACAATAGACAATATCCTTTATTACAATTTCATCAAGAAATGTTGCAGCGTCAAATTTAAATAAATAACATTGGTAGTTATTTACCTTAAGAAATCGTAGGCATCCCACTTCATTCACTACAGAACACAGAAGAAAACACAAAATAAAATAAACACTGGATATTTCGAGGCCACTGGCCCCTTTCTCAACATGGAGAGTCACATTAGATATTTATAGATTATTTTGTGTTCTGTAATGAATGCAGTGGGATGCCTACATTTCTTAAGGTAAGCCTGCTTATCCTATCCTTTCTCTCTCCTATTTAAATGAGGGAATAGATATTTGGTTACTTGTATTTTGGTTAGTTTGCTCATACAAGGGTAGCCTACTCACTCAACATTATTCCATGGTCATGTATTTACAATTTACATCCCTGAGCAAAACTTTATGAATTTTATTGTTTGTAATCTTAATAAGAGTTATCAAGAAGACTTTTGATGCAATATGGTGCTCATCTGAATTGAACTTGTATCATCCTTATCAAAGGTTTACTATTCAAACTATTACTGTTTCAGGTCAAAATCAAAAGGGAATCGCTGATGAATCAGAGACAATAAAAAATCCAGAACTAAATGCAACAAAAGAGTACACTGTAACTGTACAAGCAAACAATAATGAAAGCAACACTCTACAATTGGAGCCAGCGGACAAAATGGGAAGTTCAAACGGAAATGCAACAAGGATAGGAATACATAGCATTGAGAGTTCAGATCAATTTATAGATCTTCATAACTCTGATATACCCATTGAACTAGATTATGAAGAATACCCAGATCTCCCAACATATGATGGACAAGGGCAAGATACTCAGGATACACAAGTTCATCAGCAGTTTGATTATCAAGACACAAATTGGCAACAGGAATCAGAGGACGATGGCTCATGGCAACAAGTGACAGAACATGAAACACGATGGGACCAGGTAACTGAAAAAGAAGTGATTTGGAACAATGATGGTGCAGAGGAAGAAACTAAGCATCAAGTTACTGCAGATGATGAAACTAAGCATCAAGTTACCGAAGAAGACGAAAGTAAACATCAAGTTACCGAAGAAGACGAAACTAAGGATGAAGAAACTGATGATGGAGCTTGGAATGAAGATGAAGCTGAAGAAGATGAAACTTGGAATGAAAAAGACGAAGAGGAAGCACCTGAGGATGAAGACTATGAAGAAGGTGATTCTGAAAATGAAGAGGATTGGCTAGATGAAACAAGTGATGACCATCACCCATCGGAGGGACCGAAAACAGAAATGAAACCTAACCATGGAACTCCTGATGAGAAAACAAAATATCTACACCCAACTGTACCAGTTCCTACAACTGGAGACGTACACTTAAAGAATCCTGAGTGTAATTGTGAAACAGTTCAAACAACTCTAGTCGTACATGGCCACGAATCATCAGGATCCAGAGGGATAAAACATTTTACAACTATTAGACCACCCTATGAATTTGGGGATAATCATTTCTATCCTAATCCCACAAGAAAACATACAATTCCAGGAAATAGAGGATCAAAGCATTTTTCTACAGTCAGACCAAACTACGATTTTGGAGGTAGCCAGTTTCCCCAAAACCCATTTGTAAAGTCACCTCCCACTCAAGTTCCTGTGAAACCAACCAAGCATTACTGGCCGGATGTAACAATTATTACACCTCGACCAGGAATACCTACAACAAATCATCACATTCCGGCTTATCCTCCACAGCACCCGTTTCCTCAAGTACCACCAACTCAACACCCTTCACATCCTACAAATTTCCCTGATATCCACCATGGACCAGTCAATCCAACAAAGCGTCCATATTCTCCTCATGTGCCATCTCAAAATATTCCAGGATATCCAACCGGACACCCAAATCCTCAGTGGCCACCTCATAATATCCCAGTACACCCAAATCCTGATGTACCAACACATAACATTCCAGTACACCCAAATCCCAATGTGCCAACACACCATACACCAGGACATCCAACCACACAACCAAACCCTCAGTGGCCACCTCATAATATCCCAGTACATCCAAATCCTAACGTACCAACACATAATATTCCAGTACACCCAAATCCTGATGTACCAACACATGATATTCCAGTAAACCCAAATCCAAATGTGCCAACACATAATATTCCAGCACACCCAAATCCAAATGTGCCAACACACCATACACCAGGACATCCAAATCCTCAGTGGCCACCTCATAATATCCCAGTACACCCAAATCCTGATGTACCAACACATAATATTCCAGTACACCCAAATCCAAATGTGCCAACACACCATACACCAGGACATCCAACCGGACATCCAAATCCTCAGTGGCCACCTCACAATATCCCAGTACACCCAAATCCTGATGTACCAACACATAATATTCCAGTACACCCAAATCCAAATGTGCCAACACACCATACACCAGGACATCCAAATCCTCAGTGGCCATCTCATAATATCCCAGTACACCCAAATCCTGATGTACCAACACATAATATTCCAGTACACCCAAATCCAAATGTGCCAACACACCATACACCAGGACATCCAACTCCTCAGTGGCCACCTCATAATATCCCAGTACACCCAAATCCTGATGTACCAACACATAATATTCCAGTACACCCATATCCAAATGTGCCAACACACCATACACCAGGACATCCAAATCCTCAGTGGCCACCTCATAATATCCCAGTACACCCAAATCCTGATGTACCAACACATAATATCCCAGTACACCCAAAGCCTCATGTACCAACACACAATATTCCAGAGCACCCCGCCAAAAACCCAAAACCTGAATACCCTACAACACATGTTCCTGAGCATTCTACAGAACCTGAAATCACCACTATATATTATCCTGACCATTCTTCTGACACCCCTCATCATGATGTGCCATCATCCCATCACAAACCTGACCACCCTACAACACATGAAGTTCATACTCCTCCTACAAAATACCCCAAGCCTGTAAACCCAACCACTCATCAGATACCAATACGCCCTAGTAAACACCCTCAACCTGAATATCCAGCCACACATCAGATACCAATACATCCTACTAAGCACCCTGAATATGAACACCCAACCACTCATGAAGTTCACATTACTCCTACAAAACACCCTAAACCTGAATTCCCAACCACTCACCAAATACCAATACATCCAGAGCCTGAATTCCCTTCTACCCATCAGATACCTATACACCCTAGTAAACATCCTCATCCTGAATTTCCAACCACACATCAGGTACCAATACATCCTACCAAATACCAGAACCTGAACAACCAACCACACATGAAGTTACTATTCCTCCTACAAAACACCCCAAACCTGAATATCCAACTACTCATCAAATACCTACATTTCCCTCTAAACACCCAACCACTCATAAAGTACCCATGCATCCTACCAAACACCCTGAGCCAGAATATCCACCCACCCATGAAGTACCCACACATCCTACCATACACCCGACCACCCATGAAGTAATCACTCATCCTACCAAACATCCAACCACTCATGAAGTACCCACACATCCTACTAGACACCCTGAACCTGAACACCCGACCACTCATGAAGTACCCACACATCCTACTTGGCACCCTGAACCTGAATACCCGACCACCCATGAAGTACCCACACATCCTACTAGGCCCCCTGAACCTGAACACCCGACCACTCATGAAGTACCCACACATCCTACTACACACCCTACCACCCATGAAGTACCCAAACATCCTACTTGGCACCCTGAACCTGAACACCCGACCACTCATGAAGTACCCACACATCCTACCAAACACCCAACCACCCATGAAGTACCCACACATCCAACTTGGCACCCTGACCTGAACACCCGACCACCCATGAAGTAACCACACATCCTACCAAACACCCGACCACCCATGAAGTAATCACTCATCCTACAGAACATCCAACCACTCAAGTCACACATCCTACTAGGCACCCTGAACCTGAATACCCAACTACTCATGAAGTACCCACATATCCCACCAAACACCCAACCACACATGAAGTACCCACACATCCTACCAAACACCCAACCACCCATGAAGTAGCCACACATCCTACTAGGCACCCTGAACCTGAATACCCAACTACTCATGAAGTACCCACACATCCCACCAAACGCCCAACCACCCATGAAGTGCCCACACATCCTACTAGGCACCCTGAACCTGAATACCCAACTACTCACGAGGTACCCACACATCCACCAAACGCCCAACCACCCATGAAGTACCCACACATCCTACTTGGCACCCTGAACCTGAACACCCGACCACTCATGAAGTACCCACACATCCTACCAAACACCCAACCACCCATGAAGTACCCACACATCCTACTTGGCACCCTGAACCTGAACACCCGACCACTCATGAAGTACCCACACATCCTACCAAACACCCAACCACCCATGAAGTAGCCACACATCCTACTAGGCACCCTGAACCTGAATACCCAACTACTCATGAAGTACCCACACATCCCACCAAACGCCCAACCACCCATGAAGTGCCCACACATCCTACTAGGCACCCTGAACCTGAATACCCAACTACTCACGAGGTACCCCACACATCCCACCAAACACCCAACCACCCATGAAGTACCTACACATCCTACTAGGCACCCTGAACCTGAATACCCAACTACTCACGAGGTACCCACACATCCCACCAAACACCCAACCACCCATGAAGTACCCACACATCCTACCAAGCACCCTGAACCTGAATACCCAACTACTCACGAGGTACCCACACATCCCACCAAACACCCAACCACCCATGAAGTACCTACACATCCTACTAGGCACCCTGAACCTGAATACCCAACTACTCACGAGGTACCCACACATCCCACCAAACGCCCAACCACCCATGAAGTGCCCACACATCCTACTAGGCACCCTGAACCTGAATACCCAACTACTCACGAGGTACCCACACATCCCACAAACACCCAACCACCCATGAAGTACCCACACATCCTACCAAGCACCCTGAACCTGAACACCCAACCACCCATGAAGTACCCACACATCCTACTAAGCACCCTAAAGATCCTGAGCCTACAACTGAGCACTTCTATCCACTATATCCAATCCACCCTCAGATCCCCGAGATTCCTTTTATTCCTCCTGTTTATCCCTCCCAGCCTGGTCCCTGTGTGTACCCACCCAACCCCTTCCCTGGTTCCCAGTTTCCTCAGCATGGTTTATATCCTGTAAACCCTGATTGTATCTCCCCAGTAACGCCAACTTGGGTGTACCCAAGTGTTGTTCCGTCTCCTTGGCATCCACCACAAACACCTGGACATAAAACTCCTGGGGTTAAGAGGAAGAATAAAAGTGGAGGGGTTCCTACTTTCTTCAAACCTTGGTACTCAACTGATACACAAATAGCAGCAAAGTAATATTTTGTAAAAAAATTGTAATTCATAAATTATTTTGTAAAAAATATATGAAATTTTATTTTGTTAACAAAACAAGAAATTAGCTAGTTTGTAGTTTTATTTACCCATATTCAAAGTTAAAATATACTAGTTTAGATAATGTGTAGAAGTAT